TCCCATAACAATAATACAACTGAATAAAACATTAATATCACAATGTTCCAGACCTTAATTCAAAGGCCTCAGTATATCAACATTACAGGTATTCATAATACTAAAATTATAGGGATTTTTTGTTAGATATAAGGCAGGCAACCTGGTTTTTCCAGTCTTCTTCTGATAAGTCCTTGGCCCATGGAGGAATTGCAGACTGTGGAAGACTAAAGGAGGCCATCACTGACTTAATCTCCTCTACTTTATTTCCATCCAAGCTCAGCCGCTCAGGGGCTGGGGAGTTCCATACTGTGGCTTGCTCTAAGGCTATTTCCTCTCTTCTTTGCTGTTCAGCCTAAAACAGATAGGAATGAGAACAATAAATGAAAATCAAGGATAGATTTGACATCTCCTAAAAAGTGACGGCTTTCCTGATTAACTTCCAGTATCTCATGTAAGTAATGATCAATCTTTTCTTGTTCAGATCTGAAATATCTAGATTAAGGAATATAATAAGCTGTTCTCTTAAAAGTCCTATCAACTTTGTAAGATACTAATTGGTTGTATCTTCCTAATTCTATAATATTCTTTTAACTGACCTGTTGTGCCAGCACTGATGTGCTTGTGGATACGTTGGAAGCAATACCTACTGCACCTTCAACTTCTTCAGTTTTCACATCACATGTCTCTTCTTCTTCAGTATCACCCACAACATTAGGTCCATGTGTGGCTAAAGCAGACATTAGCCCAGAGAGAGAAGAATAATCAATTTCGCCTTCATGTTCCTCCTCCTCCTGTTGCAATTATAAGAAACTGCATTGATGCTCAGCCAATAAAGTGTACCATAAATATCAGATGATACAATTAAATATCTAAAGATTTTCAAATACAGAAAATTATTTCAATTTACCACATCATTATATTGAGGTAAAGGAATGTATCCATTGTGGGTTTCATTCTCCGTGTCATTTGAATCATGTTCATCGTCACTTGATGATACTGCCTGTCCCAATGCCAAGCCTGTGGGAGGATTCAGCTCTTCCTCATCATTACCTCCCGGTTCTCCCTTTCTGCTCTGCATTGGCTCAGGTACAGGGGACATGCCAGATACACTCTCCTGCAACATGATAATTTATTCTTATGTGAATTACTAATGTTTAACAGAATCATAGAACAAAAAATAAAAAAGTAACGAAAATCTGCCTTTTACTTACAAAATGTAAAAGAGAACTTTTAAAGTTCAATTAAATTCAAATTAGTTTACAATATCTAATAACCACTTATCTATGTGTGCTTCTTTCTATATAAATTTTATGTGTGTGTTTTGTGTTTGTGTGAATGTGTGCTGTAGACTATGAAGACTATTGGCACTATGACTGGCTTACCATGATTCTGATCTGACTTTGCTCAACTTCTCTAACATCATATTGCCAAACTTCATAAATCAAACTTGATTTGACCTAAACCCTTTTGGCCATTTGTTAAATTTCAAAAACATGCATGTCTCATATAATGCTGTGGCTTTTATGTTTTGCAAAGACAAAAAAACCTTCACTATATGTAATCTGGCAAGACAAAGATTGGACTAGTTCTATATTCCATGATAATTGGCCAGGGAGATCTTCCCATTCCTCCATAAAATTACCAAATAATTTATTGCCTTCCCTCCAAAGCATTTCTGGTAAGCTCTTACTGAAACTGCAGCTGCTGCCTCACAAACCTAATGTTGCATTTTGAATTCTTTATCCAACAAGTCGGACAAGATGATCTGACCATTAAAAACTCCTACTTAGATGTTCAGGACAATTGATCATCTCGTCCATCTTGCCCTCCTTCATAGCCAGACGAGCAGGACCAGATGACATCACAATAGCATTTATATGTAAACAGTGACTAATTGGTATGTAATTTCATGGCCCTTTATTGTTGTAATCAAAGGGTATTTGTGTGTTTGTCAATTGCAGGTAAGTTACCAATGCATCAAAGGAGTTACAAACCTTATGCTGTGCATAAAATAGACATTGGTATGATTGGTATGTTAATAATGTGAATGTTTACTTTTGAGCTAGTTGTACTGTGGCAATGAAGGCCTCAGAGGTTCCAAAGGTGGCCTTGTCCTGCTGGTTCTGACAAATTGTCTGGATGAGCAAGACAAGGACTTGAAGATCTTCCGAATGCCTCATTAATGATTACAATCATTATCTATTACTATTAACTATTAACACTACTAGAGCATATATAGATGCCTCCTCTAATAAAGTTAGGCTGAAGTTCCTTGCGAATCAAATCCTCAAAATAGAAAAAACATGCACAAAAATCAGTAACATATATAAAAAAGATGAATACTTTAATAATAAAACAATAACAATCATATCAGAAATGCTGTGACTCTGTACACACTAACCTATATCTTTAAAGATAGTAAACTTTGAGAAATTTACACAAACTTCTACAGATCCATTCTGAAAATCTACCACACAAGTGTTTGTTATTGTTTTTGCGTTTTCTGTTGACGGTTAAT